TACACCCAAAAACGTTTATTACATTCTCTTGATCTTCCTTTCTTTCTCTATCTTTTAGGAGAGTACTAGAAGTAACCCATGTGATGCATGGGCTGTAAAAAGATGTCCATGTTACATTCAATTTCTTAGTTTCTTAACTGAGTTGCTTGTCGATAGTTTTGATTAACTGTGGATGAGCTTAAAGATCCCCATATTTAATTTTATTTAAAATAAAAAACACAAATTTCTAAAATGATTAAGAAGCAATATGAGAAGTTTGACATGGACAACTACACTTTAGAATATGGTATAGATAGGAATGAATAAGCAAGAAAATTGAACCCTGGCGCAACAGTACAGAAACGAAACACATTAAGAAAAAGCTTCAAAGAAAATAACTGAAGTTGAACTAATAAGAAGAATAATTCTTTATTGAATAATTAAGAGAAAATTCAATATAAAAATTTGTCTTAGCCTTCCTCTAGCTACTCTTTATATAGGCATACACCTTTATGGCTCCTACAATAAAGCTTCATAATCTATGAAAACACTCCATAATAAAATCATACTAGAACTCTTAAAAAAGAAAATCCCAATTGAACAAAAATTCGGAAATCATAATCTAATAATAATTTGGTAATTATGAACTAGAATAGAAGCCTTGCGCTAACACTGTCTTGGTAAATTCAAACTAAGATAGAAATTCTGTGTTGGCGCTATCTTAGTAAATTCGAACCATGATGGAAATTCTGTGTTGATGCTATCTTGGTAAGTTCGAACTAAGATGGAAATTTCGTACGGGTGGTAGCTTGGTAAATTCAAATAAAAGTAGAAGTTTTGCGTTTGTACTAATTTGGTAACTTCGAATTAGGATAGAAGTTTCATGTAGGTGCCAACTTGGTAATTGATTATTCGATTGGATCGTTAACGTCATCAAAGCTTCTTATGTGTTTTGTAGTGATCCCAACTTGCACATAACTTATTGGCCTTCTCCTGCCTGTACTACATCAAATCCAACCTCCTATTTTCTCTTAACTTTCTCTTATCTTTTTGTTTTTTATTTTTATTTTGGTTATCAACAAAAAACACAGAGGTTAATTTCTTTTTTATTTCCTCAATTTCTATTATTTTTCCTCGATTTCTTAGTCTCTTTTTAGTAAAAATTTATGATTCTTGAAAGACATTATATTAGAAAAGCTTTGATGAATCAAAACCCACTCCTGAATTTTGATAAATAGTATCTGATTGGTTAATACATTTATGATATGATTTTTTGGCCACGAATTTTTCAGATATGATGTCTTTTTGATTTCATAGTTCAACTCTCTTTCTAATAGTCAGTGCTAGGAATCTTAGATCCACATGGCAAGATTTAAAATTGGAGAAAATTATTTATATGTAAATTCTTACGTGTAAAGTGTAAACCAACTTTTATGAATTTGATGAACGTCAAATAAATAATATAGCCAAAAAATCACATCTATGCTTCTGCTGCCACCGCCTTGAATAAGAAAAAGGGGTAGTGGCGCATTTATACATTCTCAACATAGCTAATTTATCAACCATGAAAGAAACACAAACACAACCTTTGATCACACTATAATTTCACACATATTGATTTGTCTTTTCTTATTCATGATAGGGGGTTTTTGAAAATGACACACTACACCTTAATTCGAATGCATGTCAAATGGGAAAGGGTATATCAAAGAAGTATTAAACAAAATAAAATGAAAAAACAAAATTAATGTAGACAGCCCATATAATGGATAAGGCTTTGATGATGATGATAACGATGCAGTTTATAGATGCATGTGTATATGTATATAATATGCATATATTAACTATCGACTCTGTAATAAGCTTTAAATTATTAATTATCTACTTATTGGATCCAATGGAGCATTTAATAGAGCAAGTTCAAAACGAAGGGTGATGGCGCTGGCCTTGTATGAAGGATGCAAGCACGGGTCACATGCATGGAAACATAAGCACCATAATATTTAACCCCTTTTTTTAGCGACTGTTTGGCATCGTTGTCGTTGCTCCATAAATTGGTGATATATTAGTGTTACATCAGAAAAAATGGTTTTCTAAGAAACACCTGTTTGTTTGGAACCGTTTTTCTATAAAAAGCGGTACTTTAAGCCATGCCTTAGAAATTGAGAAGGTGTGGTTTAGAGCAATGTCGAATTTGGCATTTTCTGGAGCTGCAGCTTGTTACTGCCAACAAGGGCATGAGGTGGCAATGACAGGAAAATGACATGGCACTGGATTTACCTGACAAAAACATTTCCAAATAGGAATGGCAACGGGTAGGGTACCCGTGCAAATTGCCCTACCCATTTCCAAAACCGCATATATAGACCTGGCAAAAAGTTGACCCAACCCGCGAACCCAACTCAAAAAAACAGGGTTAGGGTCTCATATTTAGCTACATAAATGGGAGAATGACCTGACTCGACCCAACCCCCCAAAAAAAGCTGGGTTGGGTTGGGTCAACCCGATGACCCGATTGCCATGTCTAATTGAGACTATTTATGCGTTGTTAGAAGTTTTCACTCTTTAATTTTTTCTATTTTAGTTACTCTTTGAATTGTTAAATGTTCAAGTTTTTTATTTTGTATTTGGAATTTTAAAGTTAATTCCTTTAATTTTGGCATTTTTATGTATTCTTTATGTTTTTAAATTTCAGTTATTTTTGGGATGACCCCTAACCCGAACATTTTAGGGTTAGGGTAGTGTATTGACCCAACACAACCCAACCCGAACCTGATCCGCCCAACCCAATTGCCAGGTTGGGTTCAGGTTGGGTCGCATATGTATCCCTGATTCCAAACCCGTTTAACTTTTCCTCTCAATTTCCTAAACCCATCCCGTCCCAAACCCGTTAAATCTGTCCCGACCCGTCCCACTCGTTAAACCCCTTGACGAAACATTTTCTACTAAAAAAAGTTTCTTAATGCTTATAATGTGCCTTGAACCCAAATCAATTAGTGATAGCACCAAATCTCTTAACACTACTTTAAGCCACTAAGCCATCTCGCCATTTGTGCTATTTAATGAAACAAAATAGATTTTATTAACTTTTGTGTTCATCAAAACAATCAATACATGTATATGATTAACAATTCCAACTAAAAATTAAAAGAAATAATATTTAAAATTAGCATTTTGTAACTAAATGAAATAAACAATCTATCAAATCCAAATTTACATCAAATGATGATTTTAGCCCCAATAAATTTATACAAATAAAATATTAATAATAGAATAATTATCTTAGTACTTAAAATTTATAAATTTATGCATGATATATACTATAATAGGTTCATATTTATGCATTCCGAGTATCGGGTATCAAATACCCTAAAGTCAAAACCCATATACGTCCCAAACCCTATAAGGTTTTAATCTAAACTCCCAAACCTTACGGGGTTTTGATAAAGGAGTCCTATTAAGGTCAGGGCGGGTCAGATACCCAAAAATTCCCACAAAATTACCATCCCTATTTTCAAATAAAAAAAAACAGTATTTTCTCAAAAAACGATACTTCCAACCCATACATCAGAAAACGATGTTATACCTATAGGATCCATACCAAACATATACTTACTTACTCATTATTCATTGCTAGAGTGTTGGATCCTTTACGAAAGGAGTGAAATTGAGCTAACCCTCAGAGTTATTTTGGGTAATATGGATTATGGGCCGGATCAGTTTGGCTGTTTTGGGAGCTTCTACGTACACATAACATTTTAGCTAATTCAGATCCTCATTTGTTTTTTCAACTAAAAAGGTAACACTCATTATAAGATATCATTTCCAAGTTCAATAGCCTATGGCTGTCAACGGGGTTCTCATCGCATGACGGATAGGAAGAGCCTTGTTGACGGCCCAAGCTGTCTTTCTAGAGAGAGCCGTGGGGACAGGGAGGGAAGGTACGCATGTGAGAAACAAAAGTATATTTTGCTACACATTTTTAGAGGTAGCTTTAGCTTTGCGTTGAACAATCTTCAACTTCAACTTCAAGATAATGGGGGGGGGGGGTACAAATAGGCAAGCCAAGCCAAGGTGTCTATCACTATTCTATCTTTATGTCAGTGCTGAAAGGATAACTCGTCGACGTCAAGATCTTCTATCATGGTGTTTTTGTTTGCATCTCGATTTGTCGGACTTGGATCGTCATGTGATGGAATGGTGCCAAAATCACATTATATGTTGTGATTGTGGGTGGCTCTTCTACAACACAACACCACCTCTAACTTGGAGGAGAACTGTTCTCTCTTCTGCTTGCCCTTTATTAGCTACAGGATTTATTTATTTTTGGTGGAGTATCCAATGGAGGCACTTTCAGTAATGACAAATAAGTCTGTGCCACAGCAGCAGCAGTGCATCAGTGCATCACAATATTAACGGTCTGTCCAGCCCAGTCCAGTTCAGAGCTGTCTTATCGTCATATAAGTTATATGTAGGTGCCGTTTGTGTAGTTTTTTTAGAAAAACTCCGTTTGATAAGTGATTCGGTTTAGTGGATTTTTGAAAACGAGTTTAGAGGCTATCTTATCTATCACACAGAAAGATCAAAAAGTTTTATTTGTAGCTTCCAAAGTTTGATGTTTTTGGTCTTTCCGGATCTTAACGCACACATGTCTTCTCATCTTTGCGGTTTTTAATTATCAAAAGGACATAAAATCGCACAAAAAAACTTGTCAAACGCCACCTTAATTAAAATAAACAATCTTAAAATCTGAGAAGAACATTTTAGTCATTAAACATCAGCAGGAGGATGTTTTTATCTAGGTGCACCATCCATCTACGCCACGCAGACGCTTATTCCATTGAACGTACTTCAACTGAAGTGAAGGAATTGAATTGCATAGAGAAATATATAGAAGAATTAGTGACTGTAGCATTAACTAGGGTTAGTTGCAACTAATCCTAACCCTGGGTCTTAACCGAGATCACTTTCCACGTCCTATATATACAAATCATATCACATGCAACCCCGCTATCACCAAAGCAAAGCTCCATTTCTAGACATTTAGAGAGACGACTAGAGACCCAAAAGAGCCTTTTATAATTATCGTCTCAATCTCTGCTACTCTGTTAGTTAGCTCTTTAAGAAGATGACGAAGATGTACTTACTCCCCAATCTGTGCCTCTTCATCTTTTGCTTTGGAGCTACTAACCAGTCTCTAACTCTATGGCCTTTATTTCTCCCTTTTGCCATCTTCTTCCTCTTTCTCTCCTTACTCAACTCGTGGCTGGTTCCTGGTGGCTTTGCATGGCGAAACCACCACCGAAATTCGCCGCAGCTCCGTGGTCCAATCGGATGGCCCTTGTTGGGAAGCATCTCGCATATGAGTCGGCTTGCTCATCGTAAACTGGCCGAGATATCGGCCTCACTTGATGGTGATGCAAATCGTCTCATGGCTATTAGCTTAGGAGCTACACGCGTTATCATCAGTAGCCACCCGGACACTGCTAAGGAGATCTTGTCCGGGTCTGCTTTCTCCGACCGTCCAATGAAGGAATCAGCACGACTGCTCATGTTTGAGCGTGCCATTGGATTCGCTCCCTCTGGGGACTACTGGAGACACCTGAGGAGGATTGCCGCTAATCACATGTTCTCACCTAAGAGAGTTGCAGCCCTGGAGGGGCTTCGACGACGCATCGCCGATGACATGGTGGATCAAGTATGGAAGGAGATGGAGAGTAGAGGGGAGGTGGAGCCGAGAGGGATACTGCATAAGGGTTCCTTAAGCAATGTTATAGAGAGTGTGTTTGGAAGGGGTTTGTGTTCAGATGGGGAGCAGTTGGGTTCCATGGTTAGGGAAGGGTATGACTTGATTGCACAATTTAACCTGGAGGATTATTTCCCTTTGGGTTTCTTGGACTTTTATGGAGTCAAAAGAAGGTGTCATAAGTTGGCAGCTAGGGTTAAGTGTTTCTTGGGCGAGATCATAAAAGAGAGGAGGAAAGAGGAGTGCAAAGGAAGAGACGACTTTCTCAGTGTTTTGCTTACTCTGCCCAAGGAAGACCAGTTGAATGATTCAGACATGGTGTCTGTCTTGTGGGTAACTCTCTCTCTCTCTCTCTCTCTCTCTTCTTGGCCTCTAACGTCGTCTTGAGATCAGCAGATGATGGTATTCTGACGACGCATAGCCATTGGATGATAAACTCATTGTTTGTATATAATATAGCAGATGAACATTTTATTTCACCAGAAAATAAGTCCCAACCGGAAAAAAAAAAGAAAAACATTTTTCTCCTGTGTTTTATGCGAGACTCTGATGGAATTAATTTTGAGTAGATTATGAAGATGGTTGATATATGGTGAGAACGCAATGTTTGTTTATCATATTTTGAAATATATATTCCCTCATCTTTTACCTAAAAATTAAAATATATATCATCTGACTGTTTTCCCCTTTCCCATTAGCATCTTGATCCTGTTTGGTAAGAGAAATCCACTGACCTTTCAACCTTTTTTTTATCCCCTCCATAATATGACATTATCCAGATAATCCTAGCCATCCAAAAATTAATAGATGCATCTCTCTATCCATTGTTGGAATGTTTCTCACTCAGAATTTTTTTTTTTTTTTTGGAATTTGAAAACAAGCCCTTAGTTAATTGTCACTTACAGTGGATGATGACTTATTGCTGGACTTCTTAGCAGAAATAATTATAAAATAGAAATGAAAAAAAAAGAAATAATATATTATAAAAATGTAAAATATTAAGTAATTAAACTACACTCAGAAAAAGATTTATTTATGATATATATATATATTTTTTCTTCCCCAAATACAGGAGATGATATTTCGGGGAACAGACACGATAGCTATCCTTCTTGAATGGATCATAGCGAGAATGGTGTTGCACCCGGATGTCCAAGCCAAAGCCCAACAAGAAATTGATGAATGCATGGGCAGTCATAGAGAGGTCCAAGATTCGGACATCCCCAGCCTCCCTTACCTTCAAGCCATAGTGAAGGAAGTTCTCCGGTTACACCCACCAGGCCCACTGTTGTCATGGGCTCGCCTCGCCATTCATGATGTCCATGTTGGCAAGTTCTTTGTACCAGCTGGCACGGCGGCAATGGTAAACATGTGGGCCATAACTCATGACGAGTCCATTTGGAAGGACCCATTAGCATTCAAACCAGAAAGATTCATAGAAGAGGATGTGGGTATCATGGGCTCGGACTTACGGCTCGCCCCATTTGGGTCAGGTAGACGCGTATGCCCAGGGAAGACACTGGGTTTGGCCACAGTTCATCTCTGGCTCGCACAGCTTCTCCACAGGTTCACTTGGCTTCCAGCCCAACCCATTGATCTTTCTGAATGCCTTCGCCTCTCACTGGAAAAGAAGCAGCCCTTGGCTTGCCATGTGGTTCCTCGGGAATCAGCGGCTTTCATGTGAGAATCAGCTTTCAAGCTATTGGTAATAAGTGTAGATGTTTATTTCTTGCAATAAGATGCCGCTAAGCACATAGCTACTTTAGCTCAAAAGCTTATGTAGTTAGCAAGTGTTGTAGGCTCTTTATGTTTACTAGTATATTAGTGTACATTATTATGAGTGCTTAACTGCTTACTAGTATATTAACAAAATTAAGTGAGAGAGAGAGAGAGAACTCAAATAATATTGTGAGAGCGAGGTTCTGAAGAGCCAAAAAGTGAATAAATATCGCTACAGCATCAGTGGACCTTGATCTAATGTTTAGAATGGCCAAAAACATTTGTCTCTTCCTAACAGTGTTTTCAAATCCGGTCAGGAGGTTGAACCGCTTTTTCCCTATGTCAATGGGTCAACCTCTGATAACATCATTATAAAAATAAAAAAATATATAAATTGAAAATCCATTGAACTGGTTCAACCATTTGAACTGATGGACCATTGACCAAACAGTTACTGGTTTTTGTAATATAGTGGATTAGAGGTTGATCCGAACCGGAATTATGACCAGATCACAAGGTCACTGATTTAACCGGTAAGAGGTGAATGACAGGTTAAAAACACTGTTTCTAATGTATCATTGCAATAAAGCTAATCACAATTGATAGCCATTGCTATTTTTTTATTTGTCATTTTAAGAATATATGGATACAGGAATATTGCAAATGGTATGAAAAAAAAAGGTTTCTTCCATAAAATAATCAAAACAAATTATAAGTAAGTATGAATCAGATCAAATCAGGTGCACCATCCAAAATTGTTTCATTAGTATTTGAGCTTGGTCAAATTTTATTCGTTTGATTTTTATCGGATGTAAGATCATATTGACAAGTTAAATTGGAAACGATCAAAACAATGCGTAAGGAAACGGGAAACCCACGAAATAGTAACTTTTTTTGGGTGGGGTTCTATACTCAGCTGAGCGTTTATGCAAATTGTTATGTTCTTAATTATCTGTGTTTTGCCTTTGCTTAATAAGCAATAATATCACAACATTGTATGATAATGGTGGTTGACTGAAACTCAATTTAACATCAAATATGGATCCTTTTAGTTGCTCAATTATAGAGCTGTTAATGGGTTGGTTCTACCCATATAGAACCGAACTGACAAAATCGATCATATGTCGGTTACGATTCTAAGTTTCGTTTTGTGTCCTGATTATAATTGGGTTGAGATTGTTTTTTGCTGACCAAACTGATTGGCGATTCCAGCTGAATATGTAATCAATAATGTATGGAGGTCTCCTGATTTTACTGTATTTTTTGTTATTTATTTTGTGTCTTAAAAGGATAAATTCCATCCAGTATATCAGATCAATTTCATATAAAAGAAAAAGAAAAATTCGCTCATTATTTTTACGAACATATAAACAGTTTACCATTTACTAGTGTCACTATTTATTAAGGTTATGTTATTAAAAATAAAGTTTCACATTATTATATGATAGCAGGTAATTATGGACGAGAGTATAATCGGGTCAGACTTTATTTGTTATGATTAATAATTGATTCAGTTTTAGATCTTTTTATAAAATCAATTAAATAATTGGTTTGATATTCTAGATGGCTATATTTAAACAATAACAACAATAATAATAATAATAATAATTCAGTTTAATATCCAGCATATAATACTTTGAGCTAACAATCCATGTGTGTGTATTGGAAAAATATGTGCATGTTTTTTTTATTTTTTTATTTTTTAAAATATGTGCATGTTTAATGTTTGTTTTGGAAGACATTTACATGGCAGATTTTTTGGCTTGTGGGGTGAAACCCTCAACCCCACTTAGACAGCCTATAAGCGATGTTTGTTATAAAAATTGTAATCATTAAGCCAAAAAAGATGGTTTTATGGTGAAACTTCTTTTAGTAGCGTTTTCACAGCAGCTCAACCAAAGTTTTAATCCTTCCAAACGGACCCTTGATTAAAACCAAAATCCTTCTACGGGCAACCCACAAATGCAGATGCTCATATTGTATATGTTTGGTAGCGTGGGTTTTTTTTTTAGGGAGGGGTGNGGGGCACTTTAAACGTTTTTAGCTTTGTTGTTTGACTGAGCTTTTGTGGGCGTTTCAATAAAAGCTATTTTCCATGTCAGCAAAGAAAAAAGTTTTCCCATATTTGGTTGTTTGGAAGGGTATTTCAACGGTTGATTTTGAGTGTCACAGAATTGATCCAATGGTCCAACCTACCCCTGCCTACATAGTTTATAATTCAACAGTTGATTTTGGTCACCAATGCATATACTAATATCAGTTCTAAAACAACAAGAACAGCTCCAATAACATTGTTTTAGCACACTCATCTCCGAAGTTGTGAACATGGTCGACAACTTCAATAACAGCTCGGACGATCTATGAACGAGGGAGATTAAGACTGTGTTTGGTTTGAATGAAAAGATAGGAAAAGGAAGGGAAAGATAGGAAACCTTTAACAATTCTTGTATAGGTTTCTTTGTTTTCCCCTTCCTAAACATAGCCTAAGGGAAGGATTATATCTGCAAAGAAAAAAGCAAACAAACAAACAAACAACAAAAGGTTAATATGAAATACCTTACATGAATAAAACGGAAAGAACTGGTATCAACAAAACAGGAGAACAGGTAGGTTGATAGTGGAAAGAAATTTTTGCCGATGGTTTCGAATATGGTTTTCACAACCGGACCGAAAAAATTAGGAACCGGTCACTTGATCGGTTTCATTTTTCCCCAAAACCGTTGATTTTGGGCAGCAAATCGCTGAACCAGCCAGTTAACCGTTTGAATCATTCGAATTGACCTTTTTCAATTTTTTTTTTGTCAAAATAGATCGACCGTTCAAGTCGAAAGATCGGACCGTTCGAATCAATAACCGGACCCCTGACCGGTTCAGTCATTGGTTCGATTTAAAAGAAAAAATGGTTTCGAACAAGGGGTACTTGCGGGAAGAAGACAATGGATCTGCAAAAAATTAAAATAAAATAAATGTCAACACTAGAAGAAAAAGGGAAATAGTAGAGGTTATTGGCTGGCCGACGATGGTCTTACCGCCATCAAAGGGTAGTTCTTTTCGGACCAGACGGCACCTAGTTCCCTTCATGCGCATTAGAGTAAAAAGGCATACAATTCATTGAGAGTTTACTATTCCGTGAAGCATCGGATCAAACACCGCGGGTTGACACATCGGCATCCACGTCGGTGCCACATCGGTCGTGAAATGCCAACACATTAGGGGAAGTGTGAATTTGTGGCTTCCCCCAACATCTCTGGCACAAAAGTCCTGACATTTATGCTTTTTTGGCATTTTTTCAATAAACGGGTGAACCAAACAATGGTTCCATGCTCAATGAACACACACTTAGCTGACGTAGACGTGGCAGCGTTTTTCTAATAAACACTCACACTACCAAACACCACCATTGTCTTTTTCTATTTTTTCGTGGGCAAGACCAAAGTGGCCAAAGAGTTGGCCATGTGGCAAATTGGACTGTTGTGTTTAAACCATGGTAGTGTGGCCATGTCCCTTCATGCGCATTATGGTCATCGGTTTCCGGGTTAATAGTTCGACCATCTAGTTCGAACGGACGACACGTTCTAACAATAAAAATTAAAAATAATTAAACAATAAAAAGGCCAAAACCATTGAACGGGTTGATGGGTCGATTACTCGATTTATAGGTCATTGACCAATTCAATGGTTTTTGGCTAGGGATCGGGTTTGGGGTAAAACAAAACCAGTTGCTTGGACAATTCCCATGCCGAACGGTCCGACTATCTAAATCAACAACAGTTCAAAAACCATAGTTTAAACTTTAAAAATAAGATTCCAAATATTGTTACCGACGTTTTTTAGAAGATTGTTCTTACTTCCTAAACACGTAATCCACAACAATATTCTTTTCTTTTTAATAAAGGGGGAAATTTTGGCATTGACATAAACTTCAAATAGTATTGGTTCTGCCCCTCACAGTATTACACCATCCATGAATTTGGGTTTTGTCCTTAAAAATTTGTTCTCATACCATTCCCACAGTCCCTTGGACTATGCATGGAGAATATCTTCTTATGAATAAAAATATATAGGCTCACTTTGAAAATAACTAGTAAATTTGCATTTGACAATTTTAGATGATGAAGATAGTAATATACATTAAAATATTGTATCCCAAAGAGAGTGATATTATTTCTATAAAATAATTTCATATTAGAGATGTTCTAAATGTTTTTTACAAATATTATGCATTTTTTTTGTATATTTCACGTTTTTGTCTTTCTTTAATTTTTATTATTTAATAATGACGTAATGGCTTGACTCATTTGACCCAGATTGTTGAATTTCTTACCTACTACCTAGATAGAAAGACAATTTCAAATTTTTGGTTCAATGTTGGGAAAAAAAGAAGAAGAGAGATTTAGGGTACGTTTGATTTACGGACATAACCAAATGTAATTTTATTAGTCTATTTATTATTTTCTTATTACTTTATTAATATTTTATGAAATATATAATTATTATTTTATTAGTTCTTTGTTATTATTATCTTATTCGTATTTATCACTAATATAAATAGTTTACTAATATTTATTATTATTATTACTTTCATAATATTTTGTTGTTTATTTGTGCATTTGTTTTATGATTATTACTTTAATTATATCATATTAATATGTTATTGCTATTTTCATTACTATTAATTTGTTATTTTATTAGCATTAGGGTTTGGGGGCCTTTTGTCACGAGTTCTTTATTTATTGATACTCTCGTATGGGAATCCCATTCTTGGGGGAGAAGCCTCTAATGGCTATTCCCCCAAGAATGGGAATCAACATCCCATTCCACCACATGGGCGTTCGCGCCTTAAATATATGACTTAATGAGAGGGATTTAAATGAGGTGAAAAATAATAGTTAAAATTACATGTTTTGGACTCAATTAAGAAGGGACTAAATTCAAATTACATTTTTTATCTTTTCATGCGTATAAAAGTATTTATTATTTATGGAACTTGTTTTTATTTTATAAGATGAATATGCAACTATTAGAGATGCACTCAATTTTTTTTTTTTTTGCAAAAAGTATGTATTTTTCATTTATTATTATTTAATTGTGACTTCAAATATTGACACATTTGACACGAGAGTTTAATTGTTGACCTGGAGCAAATAGGAAATCAATTTCATTTTTTTTTGTTGGTTTTGAAATTGTATTTCATTTCCATTATCAATAAAAAACAAATATTGTTTATGGCACTTGTTTTTCTTTGATATGGTTAATAAAATATTAGAGAAATGACCCATTTTTTATATATATTTTTTTATTTTGTGAATTTGTTACTATTTTAAATATTTTATTATTAATTATGATATCATTGATTCACCCAATTAACCGGGATGGTTGAATTGACTTACCCACCACTTGGATGGTAGAATAATTTTGTTTTTTTTTTTTTTGTTGATTTTAAAAAAGGACAATTTGTTGAAACCTCCCCTATTGTTGAAATTTCCCCTTAAGTTTGGTAATTGCAATCACCTCCCTTGAACTTTATAATACAGTTGCAAGTAAACCCCCTCTCTTAAAATCCTCTAATAAGAGGCACACAAATGTCCAAAATACCCAAAAAGTTAGTATTGAGGCTGATTTTGCATAACAAACAATACAAAATTTATGAACAACAATTTTTTTTTAAAAGAAGTTAAAATTGCAACTTTGAGGGATTCATATGAAGGGAAAATTTATAAAATAATTCAATTTCAGAAAAGAGATTGGAAGGGTTTGGGGTAGTGATTGATATAAAGGGAAAATTTGAAAAATAAACATTTTAGTCTAATTAATTACATGGTTATTTTGGACATTTTCATGCCTCTTGTTTGAGGATTATAAGAGAATGGGTCTACTCGCAACTGTGTTACAATGTCCAGAGGTGGTGATTGCAATTACCCAACTTTAGGGGATGTTTTTAGCAATTGTCAAAAATTTTAGGTGATCTTTTATAATTTTACCCCTAAAAAACATGGGTTTCATATTGTTAAAAAGTATTTGATAAACATGGGTTTCAAATTACTTCTCAAAATATTTATTTTTATACTATTAAAATTAATGTTGTGTCATTAATCCGCAAAATTTAATGATGAAAAAAATATATATTAAATATAGGTTTAATGAGAGAATATATCCAATTAGTTTTAAATTTTATATTCAATTTCCATCATTAATAAAAGATCATTCCTGTTTATCATACTTATTATTGTTTAATATGTCGAATATATGATGTTAAAATGTTCCCAATTATTTTTATTTTTATATTTTTGAATTTTATTATTTAATTGTGGCATCATGGATTAACCCATTTGACCCAAAAATGGTTTAATTTCTTACCACCACTTAGATGAAAACACTACTTTTTCCTATGTAGATTTTAAAAGTACAAGTTTTTATGTTATTGGAATTATTAATTTATTATGTATGGATTTTATTAATATAACTTAATGATGAGACGAAACAACAAATGTTTTAGATATGTGATTTAATGAATGTGAATGTAAGTTAATTCCTTACATGTTGGGGTTTAATGAGAGATAATTAAATGCATTGAATACCTTAAAATTACATATTTTCAACTCATTTAATATCAAAAACTGATCACCTTATTTGCCCTCATTTTTATCAATAAATTTAAATATAGAGGGATAACTTTTGGCCTTAAAAAATTCCATAAATATTCTTGAAGCTATTCGTGTTTTTTTAAGTAATATAGATATAAATACAACTATGTTATATGTACAATGCAAATACATACAAAATAATACAAAAAGACAAGGTTTTGCACTCTACATATTTGTATTTGTATTTTTACCAAATGGAGCCATGAACACAAATATGCTCTGAATGCACAGATGCAAAAAGGCTGTGAAGACAGTTTTGTTTGGGAGTGCACAAACATGCCCTTAAAAACAAGTGCTTATTCGAATAAACATTTATTTGCATTTGGCACCCAACCTTCTTCAAGTACTTATTTTAAGACACGTATTTCATATTAGGTGTTTGGTAGTCTTTTTCTTCAATAAGCACTCAAGTAAACATTTGTAACTATTTTGTTATTCTTTTTCTTTCAAATTTTATGAAAGTATTTTTTTATAAAACATTTTTACTAAAGTACTTTTATAAAAGCATATTTACATAAATATTTTTATGAAAGCACTTTAATAATAACACTTTTTTGAAAGTATTTTTATAAAAATCACTTTTTATACAAGTACTTTATATAAAATTCAATTAGGGATAGTTTTATAAGAGGTGTTTTAAAATTCAACTAGGGATAATTTTGGAAGAAAAAAATCGAATAGGTGCTTATTGTATAATCACCTAAGAAAAAAGCTGGAAAATTGGGCTTAAAAAAAGCCCTTATTTTAGGCTTATTTCCCAAATACCAATAAGTGCTTAATGGCGTGGTCCTGGCCCAGATAAGCACTCCCAAACATGCCCTAAATCCAAATTCATTACCCATAATGCGTGGTTAGGATAATTTTAGTTTGATGTTTGGACTTTTTCTTTAGGCATCCGGAAGGAGTGCGAACACAAATTTGTAGAATGCAAAACAAAAATGTTTGGTTCATGTGAGTGCAAAGTGGTTCAAGATTTACACGCCCACTTTGCACTCAGCTCATTTGTTTTGAACGATGCAAATAAGAATACAAATTTTGTGAATGTTTGGCATTTTCATCAATGCAAATACATGTCTTACTAGCAAATGGTGTTCCAGCTACTCTCACTAGGGCTATCAATTGGACTGGATTTGGTCCAATCTAACATTGATCCATTTATAAATGAATTGGACCAAATCCGATCCAAACCCCATACAAAACATCCAGTCCGGTCCAATTGAAATGAAAACGGACATGATTATACCCAAACGCAGAATACATATATAGTTCAGGGAGAGTGAACTATATTATACAGTTCATACGGTGTTTGTCAAGCTGATTATACGAGGTGAAAAGTACTGCTGATTATACGAGTTGGGTCAAGCTGTAAGTCATACGGTGTTTGTCATGTGTGCGATAGCCGATAGGGGTAATTTGGATATCCTCGCAAAAAGACACAAATCTCCAGCAAGCGACAACTGACGTTTCAAATTCTATTGATGAAACACGAAACACGGTTGACGGTCCCTCGCTCGCTTTCTTTCTCCACCTTTGTTTTCAAATATTCAAATTTTCGAAAAAGATTATTCTTACACTGTTTTTTTTATTAGCCATATAATAGGAAGTAAACTAATTTTTAAAAACAGAAATTAACCCGAAAATTAGGGTTTCTGGGAGAGGACAACAAAAACCACTGACGTCATATACCCAGTACTAACTTAATACCATACTGCAAAAATATCAACCATTCTTTCTACACACAATGACATTATCATCTTGGATCCAAAGGCTAAGATTTGTGCTCTAGTATATACAACGACTTCCTCAGTTCTCCGTCTCCCTCCGTGCTCATGACCTTAGCTACCCCCTATATATATATAACAAAAGAATTGGTTTTCCCTCTATTCTTCTCTTTGGAGGGAAAACTTCCACCAGGCTTCTACAGTTCTACCTCCACTCTCCGTCTATCCTCTAATAAAAATAAAAAACTAGGGTTTCTTCCCCACTGGTTCTAGGTCTCTTGGACTCCTGTACTTCGTCACTATTTTCTTTTCGTTGATCGAGGCAGTGATTATTGTAGATTTGCTTCTCTGTTATTCTTTCGTTAGATCGAATTTGCATTAGGTATGGATTCAAAGTTCGTTGTCTTTTTTTTTTTAGTTAGGTTTTCATTAGTTGCAATGTTAGACTATCGTATTATCGGTAGTTACTCATTTCGTTCTGGTTGGAATGTTTGCACTGATATTGATTGGATTGCTGATTCTGTTCTCCGGCCGTAAGTAGTCCCTTGAGTGACTAGGGTTCTGGGTTTTTTCGCTTTCAGTAATTGTTTAGGTTCTGGACCTCTAACTTCTAGTAGCTATTCATTTTTAATTTCTTAGTTCGGATTACTTGTAACAAATGTACTATTGAACGCTGTGTATGGAACCAGGAGCAATGCTTTTGCTGAATTCTTCCCCTTGGAAATGCTGAGTGGGAAACATCATAAACTTGTAAAATTGAGAAAAAAAGCACCTCTAATTTCCCTAGGTGGGTGCCATCACCTTCTAGACTTGTGGTTTCACGTTGTTCTTGGACTAAAAATTAATGTGGTATTTGTGACGGGATCAAACTATTGACCATAAGAATAGTAAACAGTTGATAAGGTTTCTTATTTTGGTCCTTTATCTTAAAATCTCCTACTCAATTAAGAAGTGCACTTTAATAACTCTTGCAGCTAGTGTAAATCTTCCATGTAGCTTGACGTGGTTCTTTGTCTGATTGTTTGTTACGTGCAGGGTGGCCTGCTAAACACTTTCTTAGTCTGATGGGATATGAATCATACAAGGTAATTGGTTCAGACTCTGTTAATTTAATTTCATGGATATTCAGCTTTCCATTCTTAGAGCTCTGAAATATCACTCAATGTTTAGATTTGCCGAGATCATCAATTTGAGTCTGGAAACTATATTTCTGGTTTTCAGCATAACTTTATTGGAGAAAATTGCTCACAATAAGTTCTTTATTATTATTATTTTTTAAGTAGCTCACTATGAATTGTATTCTTGCATTCAGTATTACACTATTGGAGAAGGTAGCTCACTATAAGTTTATCAAGATTAGCCTCTTTCCGTAAAAAAACAATGCAAACCAAGAAGAAACTTTTGACAAGGAATGCTGCTCGAGAGCATGCCAATCCCAGAGTTTGTAGATCACAAAGGAAAGTATCTGAGAATGTTGAAGCTGCAGAAAAGAAAGTTACAGAGCTGATTACTTCTGCAAGAAAACAGAGATTTGGTATGCCACCAGTTTCTTATTGGTTTCTACTATCATTCTGAGACAAGGTTCTTCCTAACATGATGCAAGTCAGTAACTGACAGTATGCGTTGTTTTTGCTCTTATATGTGGATGGGCTATTCATATTGCAAATTTCTTACCTTTTTTTGAGGACTATAGATAGCTGCTTATGGTTATATCTTTACATGCAGATACTATAATTCTGTGAAGTGATTGATATGATAGCCATGACACTCTTAGGAAACTTATGTAACCTACTAACCTGTATTAATGTTGTATAGATATGGTCTACTGTGGTTAAGAAATGTAATTGCAGAATTTTTTGTGCAGCAAATAGGTGATTATAAGGTAACATAATTTCATAAAGAGAATAGGTATAACATAAATATATGTTACTGCAATAGAAAACAAAATTTTAGATGAAGAGAGAGGAGAATACCTTCAGATACGTCTCAATTTGACATCCAAGGCTTATCCCAATTATATGGGGTTGGCAGCATGAATCCTGTTTCACCATTCTGCTCTGTTTAATACCATATCCATTGCTAAATTATGGACACTTAAATAATTTCTAACTACTTTGATCCATGCCCTTTTTGGTCTACGGTCTACCATTACGATAGTCTATGTATTTATATATACTGGTGGGTCAACACTTTCAACATATTTGCAAGACAAGCATGAAGATTTGACTTGTGGTAATTAATTTAAGACTATTCCATTACTCTCTATCACCCTGCCAATAAAATAGCCTTACTTTTCCCTAAGCATATTAGATTCCCAAGATCTTGGTCTCGTTGAATAGGTAACTAAAAACTTATTTATTAGCATGAAAATCCAGTCAAATTTGTATTGACTCCAAACTAAGGTTTCATAAAAATTGTCAGCCATAAAATTTTTCTGACTCTTAGGCTAACTAAGTAGGTTTTTGGTACCATTGTGTTTGAAGTCCCAATGTTTGTACCCAAATTATAGCATTGTAAATCAGGAAAGTAAGGTGCTTTGGTCCTTTTGGCACATAGGACAATGCACAATTGTTTACTGTAGTTCTAAACACAAAAGTGCCACTAGGCGCCACATAAGATGTTTCTACCAACTCCTCCATGTACATAACTCAATGTAAAGGGTGGTACAGATGTTTGAAGTTAAATCTGACTAACCAATTGACTTTAAGTAGCAATGCAACACCACAGTTTCACCCCCCTAGGGGTGAGCATAATTTGGTTAAAACTGAATAACCGAAGCGAAAATTTTGGTTTCGGTTTTTGGTTAAATCGGTTTGGTTATTTCGGTTTTTGGAATTAGAATTTTGGTTAACCGAATTAACCGAACTTTTTATTATTATATATAATATATAATATATTTATATACTAATATATAATATACTGAAATTTGATTTCATAATATATATTTTATAATATATAATATATAATAAAGTATATATTATTAAAATTCGGTTTATGAAATTCTCTATGGGAGATATTGGGATAAATCTAGCTACTTTCTTTCTCCATGGATTTTCTTCTTTTTTCCTTTTTTTGCATCAATTTTACTTGTATTTTGACAACAAGTATAGGAACCTCCATCATTACAGGGTCAACAAATTGTACAAATCACTAATTGTTGATGGTTCTCGTATTATTCTTCTCTTTCTATTTATATCTCATTTATCTTTATGTCCTTTTTAAATTTTTCTCTTTTCTGCTTTTGTCCTTGTTGCAAGTAACAATATTGTAAGTCTATAGTTGTTCTTGATGCCTTCTGCATCCTTTATGCTGTTGTACTTGTATTGCATTTGACTGAAGGCTAGTATTTTTTCCTTCAATTTTTAACGATGGGTTGGTTTATAAGTAGCTGATTATGTTTTATTAGATGGTAATTGCTGTTATGTTCTGTGATTACAGGTACTTTATCTTTTGGTTACGTTTTGAATCTTCTTTTCTAACATGTTAAAAAACATTTCTCATCTTTTTCAGCACAACTTTCAGCTGGGATTCTGCTGAATAAAAGCAAAGAGGCAGTAACTGCAAAAACATTGAATTCTAAATATCTCCTAGAGCACAATGGGACTCATGATATATGCTTGGGGTATGATACATTTGATGAGTCTTCCATTGATTGCAAGGTGATTTGATCCTTGGCTTTCTTGACCATTTTTTATTTTTATTCTCTTGAAATTAGCTACTTTTGCCACATCAATGACACTTAACATGGTTTTATAATTTTTGTTAAAAATCTAGTGATGAAATTCAATGCTGTTATCTGATAAATAATTGTCTTTTCTTTAAAGGTGGTTTTCAGAATAAAGTGGCTGGTTTCACTATGCAATTTTCTTAATGTTTTCATCTTTGAATTCATTATGGAATTCCTCTTACTATATGGCATTTCTCTTACTATACCTTTGTTTAATTTTTTCCACTTGAACGATATGCAGAATTTGAAGAATGGAACTGATTCAGGTGTATTGGAGACTATATTTTCACCAGCCTTTCACATTTCTAAAGATGTAGGAGCAGGCATTACAAATGGAGGTAGATAACTTTGTATGCAACTTAACTACATCGCCCCAAATATTTCAATTTGAACTTGAGATGTTAATTTGACATTGTAAAGCAAATGCATTTACTTATTCTTGGTAGATATTTCCGTGAAGGGTGAACAGGAATATCTCTACTTTATGCCAAAGTACCTTTGCCTCTGTAGCTTCCTCTTTTAGGCTTTTCCCTCCAGGCTCTTTTTCACTCTGTTAGAGGGGCAGGAAAAAAATTTTGAATGCATAATATTTCAGTTATGTGTCTGGCACTTAAATGGATAAAAGCTTTGTTTCTGCCCCAGTTACATGACTACAAATGCATCCAGAAGGACATTCCAGTTCAAATATCTTCGTAATTATTTTTAGCCTTTATTTATGTATGACTATTATTGAATATTTCAGTCTTTGTGAAGTTCTTTAGAAGAAAAGACCAAGAAATTCTCGAGAACTGTGTAACTGAGTTACAGGGAGACATATTGAAGAGTCCTGTTACTCAAGATATATGTGATTCACTTCTAGAACAGACAAACTCTCACTGGGACAATAGAATATCGCCTACGGGATGCCCTATTGAGGTAAGGATGGATTCAACATACTTCACTTTAACCATGATTTAGTTTGGGCTAACATATCTTCTGAAAGTGTCCACTATATATCTTGCCATGCAGCACTCGAAATTGGAATGTATTGATGAGCCAACTGATGATTCCATGTCAAGTGAAGTATACATGGAGGAAGAAAATATTGAGGAAATTGATGAGTTTGATCCATACTTATTCATAAAAAACTTACCAGACTTATCATCAGTAGTTCCCACCTTTCGGCCCATGCTCCTACCAAAACAGACACGGAGTTGCCCACCTACTACTCTTGTTTTGGACTTGGATGGTAAGAATAAATATTTTCTTGCATAAAGCTTTCATGAATATCCATTTTATCAGCAATCTTTTTTTTTTTTGTTTAGTTGATGTATTTACTGTTTTTTATTATTGGGGGGGAGGGGTTGGCAGAGACTTTAGTGCATTCCACTCTAGAACACTGTGAGGATGCAGATTTTACATTTCCAGTAAATTTTAATTTCAAAGAGCATACAGTCTACGTTCGATGTCGTCCTCATCTCAACGACTTCATGGAGAGGGTTGCGAGCCTCTTTGAGATCATCATCTTCACTGCAAGCCAAAGTATCTACGCTGAGCAGCTTCTCAATATGCTGGATCCTAAAAGAAGGATATTCCGCCACCGTGTTTATCGTGAATCCTGTGTTTTTGTAGGGGGTAACTACCTCAAAGATCTGTCCGTCCTTGGCCGTGATTTGGCACAAGTTATTATAGTTGACAATTCTCCACAGGTACTATTTTGAACCATTCCCTTGCGTCATATATTTGCCACTTTGGAAGATATTTAAACATTGTTAATGTAGTTGATTATAGTTTCTAATTTTAGTTTTCTCCATCAAGTTGAGAAGTGTTTAGTAATTGGGTTTGGTCCTTTTCTCTGTGTTTTTTTTTTTAAATGCCACATCAGCAAAGTGGGGAAACTCATTTTCTAATGGCTCTTTCCATGTGGGTACAATTTCAAATTTTTCCAAAGCTGTGAGAAATATAGCTTTTGGAAAAATGGAAATAAATTTATCCCACAAGCTGCTAACATGATATTGAAAATCTCAGTATGGTCAAGTTATGAAACATGACCATGTTTTTACAAAAAGTGTTTTTCTAGAGGACGTCATTCTTTTGTAAAATGGTAACGAGCCTTTTCTTTTCTTTTTTGAAAATTGCAGTGCTAAAAACTGAATAAGTACCGCAATATCCCCTAAATTGAAGGGGTGCAAGTAACATTTAGGTCCAATTGTTGCTATTGGTGGCTTGAAGCATACTGGGCTGCATCTAAAATAACTTCTTGTGGCGTAGTTTAGATGTGAGTTAGCACTGCTCTGGTTATTCAGCCGTGATGGGATTCAGTCACCGCATGGCCTGTTCGAACAACTATCATAGCCTTGCATTGGGAATATCTCCCCATGAAATAAAGCATAAAAGTACAGAGATGTTCCCGATGCAAGGCTGTTCGAACGGGCCTTACTGTGACTGAAGCCGATCTCTATTCAGCGACCACTGAAATGTAGAGATGGGATATATTTAATGTCTTGGAGTAATAAAAGGTCATCTTTAATAAAACTTGTAATGTTGGAAAGAACATTTTCTTGATTCCTCAAGGATGCATCGCTCACTTCTTTTTAACTGTTGTGAAGGAAAAGAACTGAGCATGGGTTTTGCTAATGGGGTTCTATCTTTTTTCCCTTTTGATTTGGTCAGGCATTTGGCTTCCAAGTGGACAATGGTATTCCTATTGAGAGCTGGTTTGATGACCGCTCAGATCACGAATTGCTGCTATTACTACCCTTCTTGGAGAGCTTGGTTGGAGTTGAAGATGTACGGCCTTTGATAGCTAAGAAATTCAATCTTAGAGAGAAGGTAGCAGCAGCATCCCCACCTTAACCCTTGAACTCTAATAAAGGAGATCCATTTGAAAGATAGGATGGCACAAGTTGAGGGTTAGGAAACCCCACCATAATTTGTGCAACATCACTTTTAGAAGCATCTCTATCATGCTTGATAAAATGGTACTGGGAAGTGAAAACGCTGATTTCGGCCAAGGAATTACACGGGATAGGGCCTGGGTGATCAGTAGTGAACTTCCTGGAATTCTATATCCATGTGGTTAACGTCAGAAAAGCATGCAACTAATGAAAGGGTGGAGGTAATTGCTCGCGTTGTAGGTTATAAGCAAAATCTAAGCGTTTAGTTTGAGGGTTACAAAGGCTTTTAATCTGTCGAAAGGGTTGCTGATGTTTGAGATGTTCAAATATTCATGTATAATGCAGTTTATCGGAAGATGAGCGATTCAAGCGTTGTAGGCAAGTATTGTGAGAATAAATATTTAATGTTGTCTAATTGATTTATATGTAAACTATTCTATCTACTGGGTGGCTTTATATTCCAACTTGGAACCCACAGAGCTACATGTAAGGTAACCGGTTACCTTTCTTTCTCATTTCTCGCACAGAAAAAAAGGCCGTTTTTTGTGCTCTATTAAGCATAACATGTAGGGGTGTCAGTTGGACTGGATTTGGTTCAATCCGAGTCAGTCTGTTAGTCCATTGCAAATGGACCAGGTCCAATCCAATTCTCTATTCAATGAAAATTTTGGACCATTTTGGATTGGTCTAATTCAATGTCTGGGCTGTTCAATCTGTTCAAATTCATTTTAATTTAGATTGGTTTCATTCCAAATCCTTTTCATTGACACTTAAGTTATCTTATATTGATGGACCAGATTTGGTTTAATCCAATCCAATATAAAATTATTACAGGTCTACTTCAGTACTCCAATCTAATAAATATTTTTGGATTGGATTGGTCCAATCCAATGTCTTGTTGGTCCATGTCTGTCCAATTTGTCCAAATTGATTTTGGACTGGAATTTAAGATCATGTTTCTGAAATTGGGAATTCAAGAGTTTATTGTTTTAGCTTACGGAATACAAAAGTGTGGGACAGTGGGACCTAATTTGAATTTTGACATTGTTTTTTCCAGATGTAAAAAATATTTTCTCCAATGTCATTGTATTTAGGGCTGTCAACAGATTTGGATCTGGACCGGAATCAGCTGGAACCAGAACTGATCCAACATGAAATGTTGAGGACCCGGACCTAATAGGGTATGCAATTGTTTGGAATTGGAACACAACCGATCGGTTCTTAACAATTGGGACTGAATCAATTCCGGACTAGGTGAAACTGAATCAGGACCCTATGTCAGGAACCAGAACTGACCCATTGGTTTTAGCTCAGAACCAGAACCGGCCCAATTGGTTTGGGACTGTTGAGTAGAACCCGACCCATTGACGGCCCTAACTGTATCTGTTGTCAGCTTTTGGTGCTTTGATATAAAAAATTGTGGGTACTATTGATATGAAAATATTGTAGTAAAAATTTCGATGTACAATGTACTTTGGTGGCAGTGACATTTAAGGGCCTTAGTTTCTTTTACTGGCAAGGTATATTCTACTTTAAGAAATCAAAACTCAAGCCCAGTTAGAATTATATTAGTGTCCCACGGGAAACTGCCATCCTCCCTCTACCTGCGTAAATTATCCATTCGAAACCAATTCTTGGCAAGTTACAATTGATTAAAAAATGCCCTTGTAAAAACACTTACCCAGTTAAGCAAACTTACACTTACTGGGTATTTGCAACTCTACGCCTTAACCATGTCCATATCTATCATTTTACAATTTTATTCTCTTACGTCCTGTCTACTCAAACCATAAATGGGCATTTTAGCAAATTTATATTATTAATGCTGAACATGCTGAAAATTATGTCACTTGTTTTTTTATTTAACAAAAATACTCAACTCCCAATTTTTAGAGTATAGGTGATCCTGAAATTCGATAGACGTTTTTTTAAGTTCCAATATACATTGGTACACAGCAATACATTGTGATATTTTGAGCCGCATTTGCATCATCATTGTCCTTGTGTGTCATATATACGTTATTTAACTTGAACATACGATATGTATTTGGTTTGCCAGATTCACTTAAACCGGAGATATCCTACTTAACACTGGGTTAGGCACACGGAAGTGGCATTCGGTGGTTGGGGGAAACATCTAAAAAGGATGTTTCTTGAATCTTGGTTCTCGGGGGCCTTCGCATTATTTGTCATATGTGGCGCTTGATGTTGCCTGTTAAGGTATTACAATAGCAGCTAGCCAGCTACCTTGTCTTGTTGGCTTTGGCCAACTTCTTTTTTCTTTTCTTGACAGCCTTTGGAACTTTAGTCTTGCGGGCCTCTCTCTTTTCCTCTTTCACTTTCTTCTTGTTCTCTTTCCGAGCAGCTTTTTTATCAACTGGTGTTGGTATTTTTGCCTCATATGCTGAACCATTCCCTTCCAAGGAATCCGAGTCCTCATCTTCATCTGTTTCAGTCTCTGTTTCACTATTTGCAGAGTCGGTATGCACAGCTAAACTATCAATGAGTTCTGTGCAATTTTCTTCATGTGGCTGGGGCAGCTTTTTGGCACCTTGGCCTGTAGTTGGTTGAACTTCTGAAAGAGCTTGCTTGAGTCCTGTTACAGTCTGATAGTAAATACCCCCTGTATCTTCCCCGCTTGTTATGCGTTTTATATCCTCCTCAACATTCTTCACATGTTCCAGTGTCCTTGGAATGTATGCCTGGGGAATTATCCAAAAAAGCATGAGCAAAAAAAAAAAAAAAGACTTCATCTAAGCACTGTGTAGGTTGACTGAGCTGAATCAAATGAATCATAGTAGAATCTTCCAGCTCTGTAAATTCAACTCTCAAAAAAATCTTGTTGGCCAATATAGCTAGGGTATGAATAATTGAGAACCATTAAAAATTTAGGAGAGATGAATTTCAGAAAAAAGAACATAGAGAAATATTGTTTATTTGGTTTGGTTAGCGTGACAAGCAGAATGACATGATGATTAATTACCTGGACAAAGACAGAATCTGCAATTTCATCCTCTGCAGATATCACATCTCCCCTTGCCAAAATTTTTTGCTGAATCTGAGAGTATTCCAGGCAGAGTATGGTAAAATTCAGAAAGGACAAGGCTCAAAAAAAAAAAACATGCACAAAAGGTTTACAGCAGGCATCCCTGCCCCATGCCTTCCCCTCAATCCCATCCCCCACGATTAAGACTCCCATTTCAGAATTTTAGGCAATCATTGAATAGTTGCTTTTGCATAATAACAGATTAGATAAAACACTGAACCTCTTCTAAATAGTTGTCCATAGATTCATCAGCTATAGATGGATCAACTATGAAATCAAACAGCTCTCGAACTGTCATAACAGCTACTCCATGCTTTCTAAAGAAATCCTGCAGAACACCAGATACTTGATTATGGTAGGTCTAATTATTTCACCATCCACACCACGCTAACCTCATTTACTTCTAGAATCAACTTACAGAAATATGGACACAATCTTCACGTAGAAAATCTAAGGCATGGGGGTGGTCAAGGTCCACAGCTTGAGAAACATCAATGATGTACAAGTGACCCTGGGAAATGAAAGTCAAAACATAATGCTAAGTCTTTGAATTTGGTAAAAATAAATTCAATATGTAAAGCACAGGGCCTACCTCAAAATAAAGTATGTTATATTCACTGAGATCTCCATGCACTAGTTTGCACTTCTGATACAAGGTTCTCATTGCCACAATCATCTAATCAGCAGAAATGCTAGAATGTTATTCACATAAAATCATTAAAAGCATAATAATATGACAACATCAGAATTATAAATGCAACACCAGGAGTAGTGAACAAGAGGCAATCATATATAGCTTCCACAGTTGGCCCCTTTGTCTTTATTCTCTTGCAGCAGAATTTGCTAAATACATTGTTATTAATATTATCATCAACATGTTGGCAAAACAATTTAAGAATACAATTTTTTTTTATCAGTAATCAACATTAAAATTTTATTACTTAAAGAAAGAAGGGAGTACAGAAACAAGGGCAGCCTCGGCTACCATCAATAGAAATACATAGACAATTAAAAATTCAGTCTCACAACTGAGCCCAGAAGCACTCTGCTCTGTTTACTCCTTGCTTTGCTAGTTGGTCAGCTAATCCATTTGCCGACTTAGGAGCCCATTGAAATATCAGCTGCATATCCTTTGAGAATCTCTTGAATTGTTTGATTTTGTTTCTGAAAAACCAGGGAATCTTCTCATTCTGCTTTAACCAACTTATTACTATTTTGGAGTCACCTTCAACTATTAGCTTTCAAGTCCCCATTTCCATAGATTTCTGCATAGTACCTTGAAGATTAGGTTGATGAAAGAAGAAAGGCTCAAGGGCAGATCCTTATCAATCACCCTCAACCCCTCCGTAGTAGGTGTTCCAAGTTGGGTTTCTCCAGGTGCAACGCTAACATTTTGAGCTATTAATGGTGCCTCGGTCCTTGTTGGTGCATCTGTGCTCAACCTCTGGCTATTCTCCTCATTCGAGATGTCAAACCTTTGTGATTGCCACTGGTTTTGGTCGGCTCCCCCCCTTTTTGAGTTCGTATCGTCCTCCTGGTCAGAATAGACCTGCACGGCTAAGATTTTGCTGCCCAGCTGGCTCTGAGCTTGTTGCTCTTCTAACTGGAGATTGAAGAACATAGTCCTCCGTTTCCAGCACTGCATAAGTCTTTTGTTCAAACACACTCTCTGTGCTGTATGACTTGTCGGAGCTTGAAAAGTCTTCTTCCTCTTCTGAACTGCACCAATACATGTTGCTATCTTCTTTTATTGATCAATAACCACAGAATTCATTAAAATAGGAAAAAACCTACAGGGAAGGGGAGCTAAAGATACTTAACTCCTCAGAAAAGAAGTACAACTGATTTAAACACTCAGACCCTCACAATTGAGCCCAAAACCCAGAATTTCTAAAAACTCCTTGCCTAGCCAATCCATCAACAAAGGAGTTAGCATTTCTTCTAACCCAAGTACATTGGACTTCCATATCCTTAATCAGCCACTTGAATTTTATTTTCTCATTGCTGTAGCTCCACATCTTGGAAGTGTCTTCTTTCAGCCAATTCACAACAATCACAGAATCTCCTTCTATA